TTCTAGCAAGTGCCTAAAGTCCTGGTCTTGGTCCAGGAGACCTCTGGACCCAGGGGCTTCGCTTCACTACTAAAAGCATCCAGAGCCACCACTAAGGATTCCAAGGACTCAGATAGAATAGCAACATCATCAGCAATGTCAAGGTCGGTAACCTTGATATTACCCAGAGTTACTCCACTTTGAACAGTAGCTCTGCTCAGTATCCAGTCCATGCAAGTATTGAAAAGAGTTGGCGCAAGGACACAGCCTTGCCTCACTCCTGAACTAACAGAAAAGAAGCTCAACAGACCTCCACCATACTTTACAGCACTTTCAGTACCAGTATACAGACTTGCTATTAGTCCAATAATTCTTGTTGGAATTCCTCTCAGTCTCAGGATCTCCTAGAGCGATTTTGCCACTCTTCAGCTTGGAGATTGGCCCCCTAACTTCAGTTAGGAAGGGATGATCCTCACTGATGGTGGGATTCATGGCACTTGCCCACATCCTTGCCCAAGGATGTGGGCAAGAACCTTGCCTGGAATACTGAGCTGTGTGATGCCTCGGTGATTACTGCAGTCCCATCGGTCCCCCCTTCCCCTTCCAGAGAGGGATGACCACACCCCTCAACAGGTCAGGGGGAATGGTACTGGACCGCCAGATGGCAGCCAGGGGCCGGATTCACTTACGATCCTAACGCATTTAACAGCGGTCATTTACTTTTGCATTTACCAGTGATGGCAAAGTGGTATTCACGAAGAAATGGTAATTTGGATATGCTGAGTTACAATCGTAAATCGACTCATTCTAATGGTAGCCAACAGAGGGCTCTAGTAAAGCAATTCCACCAATCAGCAAGTGCTATACATAATCTTTTAGGTTCATTCGGCCAATCACATAACATGTAAACAAAACTATGTACAGCGAGATATTAAAAAAAAGAAAAAATCTTCACAGCTAAAACACTATTTAAGCACATGTCGAAAAAAATGAATATACCTATTTGATCATATCCAACATGTGGGATATATATTTACTGTATAGATAGGAACCAATGCAAACGCTTTTTTAATATATTATTAAATATTATTAATAATATATCATTATTAATATTAGTCAAAACAGTTTATTTATTTATTTATTTATCATCATTTCAAGCTTATTCTTGCCCATGCACTTTGGAGTTTATGATCAAAATGCCGACAGACACAGAAATTGCTATACTCGTTTAGCGTTGTTATTGCCAGTTTATATATCAGCAAAGTAGTTTTTTTTAATCAGTAATAATTATGTCAGAGAAGAATTCTTTAAGAGTTCACCAATCTATGGTCAGTACCACAGAACTCGGCACTCCTATACACCCTGCAGTTCTCGAGGATCCTCCAACGAGTGCTAACGAGTATGTGGTCGATCTTCGTTGCTGCATTACCCACATCGCTGTACCAAGTCCAATGATGTGGGGACCGACAGACATCTCATAGCCAGTTCGATCACTGCCAGATACTGCATTGAAGTCACCCAGAACAATACGAATATCACACTGGGGACACTGTCACAGATGCTAGTTTGTCATAGAAAATTTTTTTCACGTCGTTTACAAACATCGGTAGGAGCGTACACAGCGATAAGACACATGAAGCCAAACGCTAGCCTCAGTCTCATTACCATTTTACGCTCATCAACTGGAGTAACCTCGATTACCAAGGGCTGGAGTCTGCTGGAGATGGCCATGGCTACTCCCTGGAGATGGTGACCATCGCTGCGGCCCAACCAGTAGTAGCGAAAGCTGCTGCCAGGTCTTCTCACCTCCAAAAGAGCAGCCACCTCCACTATCAGCTTCCCCAGTTCCCCCGACAGCAGAGGCAACTGATCATCATAACACAAAAAACGGATGTTCCAAGCCCCCACACTGACTTCCCGCCTGAGGAGGACGCCACCTTTGCCACCCCCGCCGACATATAAAAGGGGGTGGCAGGCTACGGAACCCATCATCCACCATGACCCTGTACCTCTAGGTCCTCCTGCTGCTCCGAGATCCCCCACAGAAGCCTGGAACCGCAAGGTACCCAGTTTCCATGGGAGGCCACGAGGAGGCACTGCAGAAGTCTCGATGATGGAGAGCCTATGCAGCTTATGCATAGCTGCTCCCTTTTTCGCACTAGGCTAGCCAGTAGTGGCAGCTGCAAGCGAGAAGGCATGCAAAGCCCTTAACACTAATTAAGCTACCACACCATCGCTTCACAGCACCCTCCCCACTGTATATATATATATATATATATATATATATATATATATATATATATATATATTATATATATGTATGTATGTATATATATATATATATATATATATATATATAGATGTATATATATATTTTTTTTAATATATATATATATTTATATATAGATATAGATATAGATATTTATATATATATATATATATTATATATATATATATATATATATATATATATATATATATATATATATATATATATATATATATATATATTATATATATATATATATATATATACTTATATACTTATACATGTATATATGTATATATACATTATATATATATATATATGTATATATATATATATATATATATATATATATATATATGTGTGTGTGTGTGTGTGTGTGTGTGTGTGTGTGTTTAATTATCTATATAAATATATACATATATGTGTGCGTGTATTTAATTATCTACATAAATATATACATATATGTGTATATGTGTGTGTTTGTGTGTGTATGTGAGTATACACACACACACACATGTATATATGTGTGTATGTGAGTATACACACACACACATGTATATATGTGTGTGTGAGTGTGTGTATGTGAGTGTGTCCAACAGGACTTGTGCAGGATATGAGTAGTAGAAAAGTACCGACAGACGACTTCATTTATCTTGCTTCTTTGTTGGAGAGTCACAGCTGACGGGCAGAGGCTCGCCCGGTTTCGTGACCAGGTTCTGTTTGGTAAAAGGTCTGAATTCTCTGTTTGTCTCACCATTATAGATGATTAAACAAAGGGAGGAAAGGTCTGGGATATCTAGTAACGGAGTTACGGGATTTTGCATCAGTGTGTTATCGTATTTTTCATTTTCAAGAGTTCCTATCGCTTTCTTTACGATAAAGAACATATTTCGCAGATCGGATCCCGACACAACACCGCTGCCTATCAGCCGAACCACTACCGGCCCCTACCGCCGCGCCAGCCCC